GAAAAAAAATTGGCTGTGACTGGGATCGGACCCTGCCCGGCAAAATAAAAGTTTAGTGCTCTGACCACAGAGCTAACATGTACTGACATAAGAAATACACGTTTATAATTTATAAACTGCGAGCTTGAGTACGGAGAATAGGGATAGAGCTTGCCGGCGAAGCGCCGGAACACGCCGCGGATTGTTTGAACTGTTTTTCATCATTTATTACTTCTGATTGTTTAAAAAAAATCCTGCAACTAATGTAGCTATATGAAGATAAGTTTCTTTACACTATTTGAATTTTTTATCACTCTTCCATCATTGATTGGAATAATAATTATGAGAAATATTAAAATTGATTTTGGCATCCTTAAATTGCAATTTTAACGAAAAAAAGAAAAAAATTAATTTACAGCATTGTAACAATTCCACATTGCTAAATCAAACCGTGGTTTTTTACCTTTTTTTTCGTTGTGACAAGATTCGCCTGTGCAAGTAGCCTCGAAGTATTTTTATAACTTATGCAGGATTAATTAATTGTAGATTAACATCAGCTCGTGCTCGATCAATTGCACGTGAAATAGATTCAGGTTTTGGCAACGCAGCAACAGGTGACATAACAGTGCGTAAAGAACGTGATATAACTTTCGCAGGTTTAGCAGCGGTTTTACGAGCTCGTTTCATTATTTTATTTTTTACAATTTTGGCTTGTACTGCAGCAGCATCACCTGGATGATCATAAATAGGCCCAATGCCTGTAATATTACCTAAATAACAAAAATCGAATTTAATTAATCAAACATACACAATAACATTTATCCACAGATATCATGTCACACTTACCGGTGCGAAGATCACCATAAGTGCGAATTAATAAATTGCACTTAGAATTAGTTGCACAACGCCAAGATATATCATTTGGATTTACTCGTTTTTTAGAGTACGAAATACCATCATGGACAAGTAACTTATTACCTTTTCTGCGAGGTCAGAAATGTTAATGGCATCTTACAAAACTTAAATGTACATAGGACACAACAAACAATTGAATAAATAATCAACTAATAAACACGCGGTAATTGCTACAATACCTCATGTATAAATAAAACTACCAAGAAACAATAACCTAACATGAGACAATGAAGAGACAAAGTTAAATATTTGATCCACAGATGTCACTACATTAATGATTTAAAATTACCAATGATAGATAACTCAATCAGTGTTTAATATTCTACCAGCAGATGTTGCACGAAGATAATATTAGGTAACAAGCTTCATTTTTTAGAAAATTCAAAAATTAATAAATTTAGATGGAATTTAATAAATTTTGAACAAAAAATTAATCAAAATTTAAATACTTTTTTATTAAAAGACACGTTCTGCAGATTTAACAGGGATTCATGTGAAGTAAATTTTAGTAAAAATTAAACACTTTTTTTTTAATGAAAGTAAGGGACAAAATATACAACTTCAGTTAACATCAATCAATTCGAAGGATGAACTGTCGGGGATATTACAAAATATCCTCGAATGTATTCATCAAACTTAAGATTGATTATTTTACACTTATATAGGGACCACCCTACATTTTTTGATCAATTAAAAATTGTTTTAGCCCTCAGAACACGGGATTAGATGTTCTACATTTATAAAAAGACAATCCTACATTTTGTCTGCTTAATAAAAAATCGCTTCAGCCCTTAATACACGGGATCAGATATTCTACACTTATCTAGAGCCAATCCTACGTTTATTTGAAAACATAGCTCTTGATGAAATACTTTGGAATTGAAAAATGCAGGGATATTTGGTCTGGCGATATTTTGTCGGGAGATCAAAACACCTGATACCATTGTTTCTTGCAGAATTTATTCAACACTATTTTATCATTACGATAATAGAGTTTGCTGTAAATTTCTAGGCAGGATCATAGTTAGAAATCAATCTATTTTTTTGTATTATCTTCACAACTTTTGCTTCTTCTTAACTACTGTGAAGTAAATATTTTTTTTGTGAATACTTAAATATCATATACACACGATATTATCAAATCATGAAAATAATTTTTCGGGTTAACATTCACCGGTAGCAAAAGAAAACGTTAACTGTAAAAAACCAATTATAGCGACCGGGTGAGAGTTAATAGTATATAAATGCAGATAAATTGATAGAAGTACGTCAGAATTACAAAAAAAAACTTATTTCAAATATACAGAATATACAATTAAAAAATTTAAGCATCATGAATATGCCATTTTTATACATGTTCTAGATAAAAGTACATTTTATATATTCCAGTCATAGGAAACATTAATATATGTAAATAATTTTTTTTTACACCAAACAAAAAAATAATTTGATATATACAATTTCGAAATGGAATTTCTTATTTATGTTATGTCCGACTAATTTTAATTAAATTCCATTTAATTAAAATAGTATTATTATTTTATTTATTTAATGGATAACATTATGCCGTGAGGTTATGATTTAATGGGGATACTATAAGAAGGAAAGGGGTGATTGCGGGTAGCGTTTGAAGGATTGGAGTTGTCGGACATGGACAGGTAGTTATCCTAAGGGAAAGAAAAAAAAAACAAACTTCTTTTCCCTTTTTTTTTTCTTTAAGAAATATTTTTTTAAGGGAACGTTAGAAGAGCCTGCACTCTTCTCCCCTCTTGACGATGATGAGTCTCCGTTCAGAATAGGTGGTTGACAACGTAAGATGAACTTACCTTACTCCGTGCTGCTTGCCAGGAGGACAATTACGCTCCAGTTACGGTAACGTTGAGTGGTGAGTCTCGATGGGAGATGTGGTACTCGAGGGGAGTAGGGATTCTCCTGGATCACGAATAACTCACACACAACACCTCTTGGTTAACAAATATTCCTTTATTGTTCTGTTTTGTCTTTTATCACTTACAACACTAATAATGAGATTTTTATTTTCTTTATGGTTTTTCAAGTAACTTGTAACGTCGGTAGACGGAAACTCTTTATTGAATAGGATTAGCAATATAATTGTAAGAGAGGATATGCGCGTTACTGCGTCTCGGGAGAGATTATTATAACGACTGAAGATAGAATAATTTTTATTGTGTTCAACGCGATGATAGATACGCGGGCCGCCTTGACGGGTCTATGGTCTTCGACGAAAAGCCCAGATAAGAGCTGTTTGGTCTACGAAGTGGCCGCGTGTAAACAGAGTCGCCGGAAGTAACCCTGCACTGGTTTGAATGTCAGCAGCCGACATAAACAACGATCCAACAAAGTATTGCTTTGTAAGGATTGAGTCGTCAATTTATGTATGCGTAATTTCTGGTGAAATAGAGAGTTTCTCAAGCTGATTAAGCTGGGAAACTCCCAGTCCACAGAACAAAACAGAAAAAAGGTGCACCGTCTGCAGTTTGGGGCCCCGGGCCCCGCCACAAGTCGAAAGGCTTGGGAAAGAGCTGACCATCGTCGACGGAAAAGAAAAATGCTGGTCAGCGGTCTAAATCCCATGCAAAAGGTAGAAGGAAAGGGGAAAGGGGGAAACAAAAAAAAGAAAAATAAGGGATACGGGATGGACGGGAATTAAGTCGGACATAACATCCCCTCCCCCCAAGGCAATCGCCCCTCTCGGGATCGATTGTCTTGCGTTAGGAGTCCGACTTTCGTGCAGGAGTGACTGGTAAGGCGGCCTGAGCCAGCGAATGGGCGCCCTCGTTACCGTAGTGCCCAACGTGACCTTGGAGATAGTGGATGGTGCTGTCGAGGTTTCGCATGTCTTGGGAAAGACTCAGCAGCTCGTCTTTATAGACCGGGCTGCGGCCTGACGTGGTACACCAGTTTCTGCTGCTCCAGAGCGGCAGCCATTCATTCAGGCTCTTCACAACAAACTCCGAGTCGGTGAAAATAGACAGGGCTCGAAGCTGGTACCTGCTCGCGATTCTGCCGGCCTCTTGAATGGCCTCCAGCTCTGCTCCATTGTTGGTGGAACGGCCGGGCGCGGCCCGAGAGACGTTCTCGACATGCCCGGGCTCAAAAAAGACCCCTATGAAGGCTGTCGCATTGGCAGTGCCGTTTTGGGTGCAGGCCCCGTCGGTGTACACCCGTACTCGACCGTCCGGACCCCGCGTGAAGAGGGTGTCCGTGAGGAGAAGCTAAGTGGGAGCAGCAACTTGGAGGAAGCGTAAGGAATCGGATAGGAAGGTGAAGCGGCGGAAAACGGGGTTAGGAAAGTAGTTTACTTGCAGGCGGCACGTGTCCCAGGTGGGGAAGACGCCGACTCTGCGACCATAGGCCACCGCGTAGTAAGGCATGACTTGGAGAAATTTGTGACCACAATTACCGTGGCGGCCCGAGTTTCTAGAGTGCGTGTCGTAGGTGAACTTGCTTAATTAATTGACGGCTTATTACCGCAACTTAACCTAGAGATTAATATAACCAAAAGACAAATTGTAGAATAAGGTGCAATTGGTAGCGGCTAAAACGCTGCAGGGGCAGGAGAGAGAACGATCCTCGGGCGGGTGGTGGTCCTCGGCTGTGTTGCCCTGGAGGTGCCAGGGGTAGGTTCGATGGCTGGCCGTGGCTCAGGAGACTCGTTCTTCGGGGTGACGATCTTAAGAGGGATATCGTTTCCCTGCCTCTCTCGAATGCTCCGGTGTCGTCGTAGCAGAGATCTTGAGCAGACCCAGAGAGGGCTTCTTCCACACTTGTAGATACACAGGGCGGTGAGGATAAAGCTAATTATCCCGACTACCTCTAGCGTGCTGCTGATCCAAATCCTGTTTCGTCGTTCTTGGTGGAGACCAACTCGGTTCAACTCGTTCTCGATCTGGTCCAGGCCACTGCCCCAGTTGGCCCGAGTATCGGCTTCTTGCAGATGAAAAGTTGGAGTGTTAATAGACGGTTCTAGGGAAGAGTCATGCAGGATTGGTGAGAAAGACCTGAAGCTAAGAGAGGTCTTGGGAAGTAGGCCAGTTGTTTAAAATCATGATGTTACATTGTTACATTAACACCATTCTTTTATTTTTAATAAAATGATGAAGCTAAGACTACAATTTTTTAACTAATATATTTAGTATAAGGTTTTCGTTAAGAGTCTGTTTCAAGTACTCTCATGTTTACTTAAGTATTGGTTTCCATTCATCTGTTGATACTTTTATTACTTTCATGATGATTGTACCAGCACATGAGTCTCTGATCGACGCATAATCAGGACAAAGAAAGAGATGTTTGGTTTTCAATCAAAGATATCTTAAAGAAAATGAGTCAGTCTTTAAAAAAGTTCCAACGAGTGCACTGTGTCGTTTTGCTGTAATTAAATACATCTCTAGTGTGGTCAATCCAAATTGGAATTAAGCCTCTGATTTTCTCTTTCATTGTTGTTTGATCAATTACAATAAGTCATATTGCTGGATTCAATCTTCAACTAAGTTGTGAGTCAAGTTCATTATTGTTTGGATCAAGCCCAGCCTTGATTCTTCTTATGTTACTAGATCAATTGCGTATAAGTCACATTCTTGAGGAAGTTAAGATGGTCTTCCACGAAATTATACACGATTTCTGCTGACTTATACCTTGATCTATATCTACAATTGATTAAAAATGAGACATATCAACTACGTAAACAGCCACATTCTCAAGTGCTGAGATTTTCTCAAATCTCAATGATTTCCAGATAGGAACATCTGCTGGCTAAACTGGTTGATATGAAACATTCTAGAAGATCAAGTTTTGTTGTTGATTTTCAATTGGCAATCAAGTGAGTCTCTGATCACATGTTATTGGAAGATTCAGCATGAATCTTCACGAAGTTTATTTTACACTTCTGCTGACGGAACCACTTGATTCAATTCTAAGAAAGTTTGATTAAAAATGTTGATTCAATGTTGTGTCTAATTACGGGCATACGTTTCACTCTCTGAGAAAATACCAATTCATATTTTCTTTTAGGATTCAACAGCTTCAACCTCTTAATTATTGTTCAAACACTGGTCTGCGATCACCTCGACGTGTAACCAGCTCTCTACATTCTACGTTATTTTAGATCAGCTATTTTAATCTCAGTTATTAATGCCTAATTCAACTTTTGCTAATAAATAAGTTTAAATAATTAATTAAAATTTCTCTTATTCTTTTTTTTTTCCATTTGATTAATTAACTTTCAAACACATTAATTCTCTTTTATTCACCAGTGATGTTAGTCTGGAATTCCCCTAAGCTGAGGATAGTCTCGTAACGGTTAGTAGCCATGCAGCCCGGTCGGAGATCCAGCACGCCAGCGCCGTTGAGATGAAGAGTGTGAATTTGCTGGCCTTCGCAGACGACGTTGTAGACTTCCGGCTTGCAAGTGGAGAATAGCCAGGAGTTTTGGTGGGTCAGGGCGATCTATTCGGTGGCCTGGGATAGCGTTACTCTGATATTTCAAGTTCTTAGGGTTTCGTTGGAACGGTCCCGAATGATTTCAGTTTTGCAGATAGGCCGGTTTTCCGAAAATTGGACTGCTCGTAACGGTGCGCAGGCCAGGCCGTTGCCAGCGGGCAGGCAGTTGGACAGCTTTTCTCTAGAGGCGAGAAAATAGCGGGCGTTATCGGCTGACAATACCAGAAAGTCTTCTTCCGGCAAGATGGTGAGGGCCGATGGCTTTCGCCCCCCCGGCTGCGGAATTTTATATGGGCGCAAGTGGTAACTCCTCCACAGATGTTTCTTCAGGAGAGGTATCTCGACGACGGTTGCGAAGATATTACCCACCCGGGTAGCGGTGACACGTGAGATTTTTGAGAGCACTTGGAGGTCGATGTGGTCAAGCGGTTGCGGCGGGTTCAAGTGTGGCCGCCTCCGTTCCATGTCGTTTAAGGCCACCCTCAGGTGTCCTGCTGGGACGGTGATCGGGTTGAGTATGCCTCTCTTAGCTACTTCGATGGCTGTGATGGCCTGTCGCATCAGGGAGTTGCGCTGCTGTAGGGTGCGGAAAAGGTAGAGGCCCAGCAGCATGTAGTCGCGCCCCTTTTCGACCATGTGTCTCCAGTGGTCTTGTTGTTTTGAGATCGCAACGGCGTAGGAAGCTAGCTCATCGATTCTTTTGTTGGTTTGGGCAAGGTCGCTCACGAGGGAGTCGACTTCCGTACGTATGATATGCGTGGCGTTGTTAACTAGGTGGACGATAGACGCCTGATCTTGGTAAAGGTGGGCGATCTCATGAGAAAAATGTTCATAATCATTGTAATCCAGGGTGCCAAACAGCTTTCTGAGTCCAGTTCTAATGAATTCAATCCAGGGTGAACGTTGGTTTCGGTCGTTAGAGACGTCCCGGGTAAGGGTGCGCTGATTGCTTAGCCGGGTATCCTCGTCTAATTCGGCCCGAACTGTGCTTTCTTGAAGTGCCGTGGTGCAGAACTGCAGCGCGCAGGTCTCTCGGCAAGTGTCCAAGTGATTGTTGAATGCCTGGGCGTCTTGTCCGTGCGCGTTGATCGGGGCATCCACGTCCAGCGTAGAGAGGATTCTCCAGGTTTCGCTTACCAGCTGGACGGACTGGTATTCCTCATAGTACAGGCCAGACTGGTGTTGAAACATGGTGACCCGGTATGAGTCACCAGGGTGAGCGACAGAAAGGTGCAGAAGTAGAACCAGACTCAATAATAGTGGCATGTCTGGAACAGATGGAGAAGTTATTAATGGAAAGATTTAGGAGGCACGGACGGGATTGTCTCAACGACGAGGTTAGCACATAATGCCCCGTGTAAGCACCCTTGACCGGACTTCTCGGCCAGTATCCAAAGAGCGTTGATGGCCTCGACGGTTAATTCCCCCGCTTGGCGTTAGCGATGGCCCAGGCAGGTGAGAGGAGCTGCAGGGACAAGGTGGCGAGGTCCTGAGTAATAACCTCGGCCTCATCTTCTTGAATGGGATCCGCTGCCTGGGAGTTAGGAGCAGGAGTGGGTACAGGTTGCGTGTCAGTGTTAACCTCGGCTTCGGCGGGAGCTGCTCTGATGTCTAGAATGGACTGCGGGGAGTAGTGAGCTCTGCCTCGAGCCGGGACCTCGCGAAGTCCCTGCATGATGGCGGCCTCTAGCAGACGTCTCCGTGTCCTCCTTGCGCGATTCCGACGAGTCCTAGCGGCCGGTGCTCTGCGGGATCTGGAGATGGTTGCCGGGTTGGCGCGGTGGACCTTCGGTTGCTGGTCCATATCAGCAGCAGGGTGCCTTAGTGATGCTTTGCTGAGACGGCTGGCTGTTAGGGGTTAGTGACAACTTAGAATAACTTTCCTTTGGTTAGTTACAAGCTGTTTGCGCCATCAAGCAGGGTTAGCATTTAGCCTTACTGTGGGGTATGTTCTGGGAAGAGAAGGGAAGGGAGGAAAAAATGAAAAGGAACAATAAAAACACAAATATAGAACATTAACTAATTTTCCGAGTTTATTGCGTTATATTGCATTATAACCATATATATGTATAGGAGAGAGGATGTGAAGTGGGGTGAGTTCCGCCCGTGGAGTTCTCATCCCATCGGAGTCCGTAGGCGCGTCTACGTCTCTGCTGGCAACTTTCCATTTCCCTTTAATCCGTTATGATGGAGGGATAATTAAGATTAGTGAACGGGGTGGAGGTACAGTTTAAAGATAACGTCAACCAAGTAGAATATAAGAAGTTATAAAATTTTATTAAGTATGTGTCAGTTTACAGGATATCAATTAGTCTATATCAGTACAGTATATCAATTAGTGTATCAAGGAGTTCAGTAGTATGATCCTCCATGACGGCGGCGCTCTCTCCGCGCTTGCCTTCGGCGTTGGTTGTGGCGCCAACATCGCTCACAGTGAGAGGAGGCGGGAGCAGGAGGGAAGCTACCGATCCGATTCCATTCCTCCACGAAGTCCGAGAACTCGCTCACCCTCAGTAGCTCCGGCGCCGGCCTCGCCCAAACGTACCGCCCGATTCGCAGGAGGAGGGCTCGAAGAGCTGGCCTCCGTTCCTGGATCGCGCGGGCCAGTGAAGCTAAACCTTCGAGGAAGCGGTCCGTGAGTACGGAGGGCGGCTCGAGCAGCTCGGTTGGTGGAACAGGGTCAGGACCCCTTGGAGGTGCGAAGGTGGTTGGTGGATTACGGCCTGGGCGACATTCTGTTACCAGCCGAATTCCTCGTCCGAGGATCCACTCAGGTCGAAGACGATGGGGCTGATCCTTCGGCGTGGCTCCGACACTATGGCCTGGCGTTGAGGCGGCTCTGCCTTTGGTTGTGCTTCTTGTGGCTGGGTGGAGGGGAGTGGTTCCAATACCACCCAAGGACCGGGCCCTCCCAGTTTAGGATCCAGTTGCCAAGACGAGGCGGTGACTCCTAGACCCTTCCACATTTCCTGGCAAAAGGAGGGAGGGGTAAACAGATTATTGTCAGGAGGCGATACAAGGAATTGGCAGGCTGTCGTCGGTCTTGTCGGTAGGCTTAAAGAGATGAAAGAGAGAACGTCCTGCTTTGGGGGAAGGCCGGCATGCATAAGGCATGCTCAGACATCAGAGGGCATACAGGGGCGAGAACGGGAAAGGTGAAGGAGAGGGGTAGGATTCGTACGAAACACACTTATAATATATGTTGCGAATGTTTCGATCCGATCGCTCTTTCGATTTCTCCTTAGCTTTGGTTAGATTGTTCCTCGCTAACCTCCGAGCCTCGGAAAGTCTCATTGAGAGGTCCTCGAGAGCTTCGGGGTAGGTGTGGATCTCCGAGAAATCAGGCAGGGCTGTAGGAGCCCGGGCAACTTTTCCATACAGTAATTCGAACGGAGAGAATTGGGTGGCCGAGTGGACTGTGGTATTGTAGTTGAACATGGCCATCGGGAGGTATCGATCCCAGTCATGATAAATCGACACAAACGAGCGTAAGTATTCGACAAAAGGGTGATGAGAGCGCTCCAGGGAACCATTTGACTGCGGGTGGTAGGCGGACGTGAGGACCCTCTTGATTCTGAGTATCTTAGCTAGCCGGGACAGGAGTTTGCTAGTAAACGAGGTTCCTCGATCCGATAGGATGACCCTTGGACATCCGTACAGGCAAATGAAGTGGGTCACCAGGGCCTCGGCGATAGTGGAGGTGCGGATGTTCGGTAACGGGACCGCGCAGCAGTATTTCGAGAAGTTATCCTGGATTGTTAGGATATGGAGATTGCCGTCTGGAGTCATTTCCAGCGGGCCGACAGTATCGATGGATATCTTCTCGAACGGTTCGAGAGGCGTATCCGTGATCACTGCCGGTTTCTTCTTTCTGATACGGTCGAGCTTCTCGGTCTGGCAGGTCTGGCAGCTCTGGACATACTCATAAATGTGCTGCTTCATTCCGGGCCAATAGAAACGCTGTCGAATCCTCTGATAGGTCTTGACAACGCCCTTGTGGCCTCCCACTGGTGTATTGTGATTTTCCTGGATAATTTCCAGCCGTCTGTCCTCGGGGGGATTTTCTATCTTACCCTGGGTTAGGGTGATCGCCATCGGGCTTGTGGTGAACACGTGGGCCAAGTAAGGGCGAATGTTTACGTGGATCTCGTCGCCGCTCTCGGCCATTCGAAATGATCGCACGTTGTAATACTCCAAGGCAAGCCTGAGGTTGTTCAGAGCGAGAAGAATCTGTTCCGGCGGGGGTTAGTCGAAGTGGTGTTTCTTAACAAACACCGTGAACACTCTGTGCTTGCCTAGGGGGGTGGCGAAGACCTGTCCCACTAGGGGATTTGCCGCCTTGAGGTCATCTACGGATATGTAGTGGAGAGCTTGTAGCAGCTTGCTGACTGGTTGAGCAAGCTCACAGTCAGCCGAGAGAAAGTGGACGACGTTGTCCCGGGAATACGTAAGTCCATCCCGGCTAACGGTTATGGTAACTGCCTGCGAGGGCGTCCGGGGTGTAGGAACGGATTCCGTCGCGATTTTAGGTTTGGGCTTAGAGTCACAGGAAACTCTCCTCTCGAAACCAGAAGTTTCAGGGTACACGATTACTCCTTGGCTAGCTACAGCCGGTAACGGTGGGGACGGCTGTGACGGCTGAAAGGAGGGGTTTACGGGAGTTGCGGGGAAATGGTGAGTTAAGATGCTGGAATTAGCGGCGGGACTAGTATGAGCGTCGAACGTAGGAAGGGTCGAAGGACGTCCTAGACAGTGACGCAATAACGAGTCCTGCGAGTTGCGTGTAGGAGTGGAATGTTGTGGAGTCTCGATGTACTGATAAGCGCCTTTGTCCCAGTACATATTCTGGAACGGAGTGAGGTTCAGCGCCTCTTGGACTGGCGGCACAGGCTGAGGCGACTCAGGTTCCTGGTCCCCCCCATCGCTCCCGATGCTCTCCTCGGCATCATCCGAGTCTTCTGGGTTCTCGTATTCCTCCTCATCATCCTCTTCCTCACGTTCGAGTTCGTTGGTTTGTTCCAGTCGAGAGCCAGCTGGAGTGCTGTTTTCTCTCTCCCTCCGAACCCTGTCATACGACTCCAGGGTTGACCTAACGCCATCTATCACCTGTGGCGACACGGGGAGACGTGGATAAGGTACTAGGACCGGCACTCGTCTCCTACCCCGGCTAAGCACCGAGTCTTCCAGGTTCCGAGAAGAGTCAGGAGGAATCAGTGAAGTCTGTGAGTCGCTTGGCTCCGTCGGGAGGTTAACCTCTGGGGCCGCGGCCCCCCCAGTACCCGATCCTGATGGTTCGGGAGTGGGTGGGACCCGCGTTGCTTGCTGCAGGGCGGGCGACGAAGTGGCTTCTGACCCGCTCTCCGGCTGCTCAGCGATTGTCTCCATCCCCCTTACCCTCTCCTCGGCATCTGAAAGCTCGGCGCTCACCGCTAGAGGAGGGGTTGGTCCGGAAGCTCTTGAACGCCGGGTGCTTGGTAGAGTTGTATGGGGAGAGCTGGTTGAGGGGTGAGTGAATTGCGGACTTGTAGTGTTCTCCCCTTCGCGTTGTTGTCCTTGCATGTGTCTCCTAAGTCTTGATGCTATAGTGTCGGTTACTTGTGGCGCTCTGGGGCGGTTTCTAATTCCTGGTGGTCGGCCTCGTTTTCTTGGTTCGCCTCCGTTACCGTTGGTGACTGGTAACGCTGTGTGGTTACCGCCGCGTATTAGAAGGGCAGTTGGAGGGGTTAGTGGATGGTGTTCAGGAGGGGCTTCGGTGGCCCTTGGGTTTTCGTCCTTATTACCGACCGGACAAAATAGGCATCACCAAAAAAGGTAAAAAAATCATGTACTCTAAACCTTTTGCTCTTAAATTGATGCTCTCATAGTTGCCCGCGAGCTGATTCGCGGTTTTCAATTATTTCAAGTAGATGGGATTAGAGATCAGACTATTCTCTATCAGTCTGCAAATTTCTATTCCTTATTATTGATATTGAAAGAAGTTACAGATTTTGAAAAGTGAAAAAAACATGTTTTCTGTCACTTATTTTCTGTACTGGATGCTTTCGTGCCAGTAGTGTCTATCTTCTTTTGCCCCTTGAATATTTTACCTATTTTACGCCTTTCTATGTTTAATTCTTTTGTGATGTTTGTTGAAAAATATAGAAAAGGTTTACGATGGATTATCCTTGCCGTTAATGACTGTCATAAACACCTGCATAATTTTTTAAATGTTACGTATTTTCACCGTTCGCTATTCATTATTCGCGATACATTCTCTATAATTTTTTTTCTTTTATATCGATGTTGTCTCATTTTTCTATTATCATTTAAGGCCGAGATATTGTCCTTTGATATTATTTGTTGTTACTTTTTTGTTCATTATAGAAACGTTTGTTTCCAACTCAATTTTATTTTTAAACGTCTTCCCTAACTACGATAAAATTTTCAATTCGATCCCGATTTTTTTCGCATTGCTACGATCGTATAAACTTCCCTCATGGAAAATTGACCGCTAAAAACATGGTTTTTTACCCTAAAAAATTCTGTAACCCGCGAAGTTTTTAATTCATTGCATTAAAATATCTAAAGGAGTTGTAAAATCGGTTTCTCTTTCTATTGATTCCTCACGCAACTTAATGAAATTATTATTTTTTTTTATATTGCTTTTGAAAGTGAGGGGCCTATGCTTTTTACGCCGATAATAGTTACTCGAACGCTGTACTAAAAAGAAACAAATATTATCCAAAATAATTATAAATAATTTATACGAGATAGTTATTAATGATTATTCATATTAATTTTTTCGAAATACCATTTATAGAATGAGTGAATAAATACTAATTAGGCTGCGCTTTTTTTTTCATGTTTATGTGAACAAAAATACAGCATTATCAGGAAATATTCATAATTTTATGTCAATTAGTGTATTGATTAACGAACCATTAAAAAACATAAATGTGATACTATTTACGTGAATTACCAGAAAATATGATATAAAGAAAACTGTCTTCAACTTATTCGATAGATATATATTGTATATATTGATTACATTAAAACACAAACGTGTGCGCATACAAACTATTATTAATAGCGTATTTATATCTTGATATTTTTCGATTTGCATTTATCTTTAGAGTACTATAATAAGTCATTTAATTAATAATTTCGAACACAACAATATGTTTTTTTTTGTTCATAACATTGTACTCCATAACCCCAATACTTGTCACGCTCGTATTGATGCGGTCGCTACGCCTCCATTTGTGATTAGAAGATTTACAAGAGAAGCGCCAATAATCAAATAAATATTTGTATAATTTCAGTGAGACAAAGCAAAGCTGCTTTATTTACAAAAAGTATAATTTATAAATTACATTCACAAGTCATTATTCGTATTTGATGAGTATACATCGTTTTCTCAATTTATTTCGATTATGATTTATTTATATATTTTTATGTTACTTATGGATAGTAAGAATAACATTGACGCATTGAATACGAAGGTGGCATCGAAGGTGGCATTGAATACGACGATGGCATCGGAGGTGGCATTGAATACACAGGTGATATAAGTTGTGGCTGCTTTACTGCTTCTTTTTGGTTTTCTGAAACAAGAAGATTTAATGAACTTTTTAAATTATAGCTAACCAAAATGAACAGTATAGTCATGAAGTTTCTTTCGTGAAATAAATGAAATGTACTAACCTTACATTGCTCTCATAATCGTGCCTTCATATCGATATTTTCTTTTTCCAATTGTCTTATTCGACTCCATATACGTTTTTCACATTTTTTTAGTAAACGATCTCTTTTCTAAAGGTATTCCGCAGTTACATTTTGAGGTGGTCGCAGATACCTTGATGACTCTGATTCTCCATTATCAACAAACTGTTGATTCGCTGCCAACATCGATGCACCAGTTTCTTCGTTTTCTACGACTGTTTTTTTAGTCTTCTGATTAACTTGTTCAGAGTCTCTTTTGTCTAAACGTATTGGCACTGATGCTCTTCGATCTATAATATCACAATTTATTGTAGACGTCACTTTACTTCATTCATGGCATACTTTGTAGTTGACTTATTTTAAAAAATATATATTATATAAATTATTATTAACTTACTCTCAGAAGTCGCTTTATAATTTTTTTTATACACGTTGTTCATACAGAGTATATGTATTCTCTTCAATTTGTTATATTTATGTCGAATAATATTGTGTACTATCAAACACTGCTTATAACCAAACCAACAAGGAATGTTGACGGAGTGTAACTCAACTTATCTAAATCCTACTACTTTTTCTATACAGTTTGACTGTACGGAAATACTTCATACAGAGAAAACAATCGTCCAAAACTCCGCCTTTATCTTCAGACTTTCTATGCTTATGCGTTAAATAAAACACATAAAAGAATAGTGGGGACAACTTCTCTGTTACTAAGCAAAAGATGTATACAGATTTATTTTTGTTTACTTCTTTCATGTTCGCTTAGTCCAAATACTAGTTTTTCTAAATCTTCCTTTACCGACTTTGAGTAAAGAAAAAAACTAAATATGCCCGAATACTTACAATCAGAATAATATTAACCCTGAAAAAAACCTTATAACTTTGATTTCTTGTTAGTCTTACTTCGAGAGTGGAATACAATCTGAAGCCTATTCTGTTAATGCCAACTTAGATGCTCTTATTTTGGCACAGAGAATTATTAATTTTCACTCAGCTAATATTGTTTGTTAAATTAATACGCAATAATGGATAGAAAATAAATATTTTACTTAAAAGTAGATCACTGACATGTATTATTTATGCTAATGATTCTTTTTGCATACTTTATTCATGAAAATCAAAACGAATGATGTTGCTATTTTCATGTATCCTTTATAAATGGATTAGACAAAATATGGTGTTATCGACAAATTTATTTATCATTAATATATATTTCAAGATTAGTTATTTTGAGAAATTTGATTGAAAAATTGTATGATGAAAGATGAAATTTTATTAAACTTTTATTTCAGTTATTTTACAGCTTTATTAAAATTGTCCTTTCGTACATAACTATTATAATTGAATACATATATATACTATCACTAAATTGGGAAATTACATTAACATATACATTACAATAGTATTAAACAGATGAAATTGTTTATTTGTATAATTCATATATTTTTTAGATTTAATGCAAATTGGCAAAACCTAACTTATTAATATTTCTCATACATAGACGGACATTTACCCCGACTCAAAACTATTCTGCTACCTGATGTTAGCAGCTCTATGGCGCACAACATGAAAGCATGTACTTTAACGTACTCTTCGAAATGTTCTGAATAACTCGTGATAAATAGTTAGATATTACTTTTTAACTAATATAAATCTAGCTTTTGAATGATAAAATATTAATAAATTAATTTATCTATAATTTACAATTTGTTGTTTAAAAAATGGTAATAAGTTTTTTAAGAAATAGAATTTATATCCCAGGGACGATTGGGCAAATAATACTAAAACTACATAAAAATTTTTTGACTTTCTGGTGAGCTAACCGTAAAACAATGATTTTAGCACCTGTTTTGATCCAGCACAAACAATCGCTGTGGAATTTATTATGAATGAAGCTGATACGTACACTGTTTCATGGCTTGAACTCACTAAAAGGTATATAAAATTATTATACATAAGCTGATAGAAGAATCTCTTTAATCTATTTTAAAGTTAATTGATACAAATCAATACTATAATTATTATTATAGCGTATATATGCTATCTTACGTGATGTAATTCATTCATGCAAAATTACTACTGTTTCTAGAAAAACTGATTTATTTGTTTTTTTTTTAACAGATGATCCATGAAGATGTTCAAGTACCTTCTCATGATTGCGAGCAACACTGTCCAGAATTGAATGCTTGTATAAATAAATCATTGTGGTGTGATGGTACTTCTCATTGTCCATCTGGTTACGATGAAGCTTTAACCATTGCTCAATAATTCTCCGACTTCCACCGCTTTATTTAGCTAGTCGAACTAACATGCCTCGATCCGTTGACCTTTTGGAAAGCAACGCTGACCACCGGGTACAATACTGCGGACTCTGGACGTCTGGAACTGGACCACGATGTCTTCACTCGATTAGATCTCTCTTGTTCCTGTCAATGGAACTACCGGTTGACCTCCGGACTACGGGATGTCTTCCCTCGTCGTGGAATACGCAATCTTCTTGCCAGACAACAGTGCCGACAATAGTCTTGAATGAAATTGACTTGTCTTGACTATAACGATCTGTCTCAGTGCACTTAATTATGACTACAATTGACTTTATAAATGAATTTATAGAACAACGCAATTGGTAGAGCTGCTCCTTTAGATGCCGTGTTGTCTATAGGAAGCCCCTGGGCGATCAGGCGAACTGTGACGTCGGTTGTGCCGGCTGGGAACCTCGTGGCTTCGGTTATCCCCTCTCTTGCATGTATGTCTCCCGCTCAATTCTTGATGTTGTGTCTCCTGGTGTTGGAGGACGGAAACTCCAATCAAGGGGGTTAGTTTCCGTTGATAAAAGGGTTAGGAAGCTCAAAGAA